CCTACCTACCTACACACACAACTACTCACCTACCTACCTACACACACAACTACCCACCTACCTACCTACACACACAACTACCCACCTACCTACCTACACACACAACTACCCACCTACCTACCTACACACACAACTACCCACCTACCTACCCATTAGGGGTGCACCAAATAATCAGTTCACATCAGAATCATGATTTTCATTTACAAAGATTCAGATTTCAAATGTCCTAAAATCAAATTTTAAAATAAAAAATCAAGCAAATCCAATGGCTGTCAGCCTCCATTTTATAACTACATGGGCCGTACTGATGTCGCCTTGCAGCTGGTTCTGAAAGGTATGTATGCACAGAAAGCACCAAAACAAAGAGGAAACTACAAAATAGGAGGAAAGAGAGATTCAACTGACCCAACGGACTCATTTTGGTTTTTACTGAATAAGTTCCAGTTTGACGTGAGCTTCACTTTGTGCAAGGTTTGCTAAATGAAGATGAAGCACTTTGGGAACACAACAAATGGGCTCACATTATCAGATTTAAAAAATTGATTTTGAATCGAATCGTGGCTTCAAAAATCAGAATTGAATTGAATCGTGAGAGAGTAAAAGATTCCCACCCCTACTACCCACTCACAGAGATTCATTCTTTGTATTCTGATTACCCAGTACCTTAATATTTTACTGATAGGTGTAATAGGTACCATTGGTGGCACGCTTATGTGTTACATTTTGGAGTAATTTTGACCGGCTCTACTCTTCGGCTGCTTCGAGGCGCCGAACAGTTTGAAGAAGAACATGAACTGAGACTTCATCGCTCTTTACAGCAACTCATTCTGAGTCAGGCAACAAACCTCGTCTACTAAGACTGGAGAAAATCTCATTTACATTCAACTGGCAGCATTCAAAGAAAGCGGGGTGTGTGTGTGTGGGGGTGGGGGTGGGGTCCTCATAAGGTAAACAATAAATATTTCCTACTAGGGCTGCAACGATTAATCGACGACTAATCGATTATTAAAATAATCGATGACTAATTTAATAATCGATTAATCGTTTTCTCTTTTTTTGTTGTTGTTGTTTTTTACTTTGTTTTTCTCTCCAAACTGCTTTGACACCTTCCACTGCCACATCTGCCTTTCTGTCCTTGACACACATGCACAGTAGTGGTAACTGGGGTAGACCGTGGACGTCACAAGACATTATACAGACAGGCTCTGGTATCATGGCTACCTGACAACGGAGCTCAAAAGTGTGGGATCATTTTAAGAACATGAAAGAGAAACCTGTGCAATATCTGCAGAGCAGAACCTGCCTTCCACAGCAATTATTTTTAGTTAGCATATAGCTAAAATTTAATGATGGTTATATAATAGCAGCTGCATTCTGGCGCGATAAGCTCTATGTTGTATATTCAATTAACGTATGATCTGATTAGTCGACTACTCGGAAAAAAATAATCGGTGATTAATCGACTATAAAAATAATCATTTGTGGCAGCCCTAATTACAGCAGAAGTTGAAGCTGTGCTCAAAATAAAAGAATATATTTGTTAGAACAAGTTTTGACGATTCCTGTTTTTGATGGGTTTATTGCTACTAATTTTGAATAATTGTTGTTGGGCGCCAGTCAGGTCTCCCTCCTGACTTATATGTTTTAACCAGCTGATGATGTTTAACTGTTATTAATATATGGTTTAGAATTAGTTTTAGGTTTTAACCTATCACACCAGGACATGTAGATTACATAAAATATAACTACACACCCCGTTTAACCTTAAATAAATAATCAGTGACAAAATGTTTAACAAAGGAAATGAGCACAGACAAAAATGAAATAGTTTTCTCAAGTATATTTACAAAAATAGAACAAAACAAAATAGAATATAAATGCAAAACAATACAAAATATATCCCTTTTTCCACCCCCAGTGTCGATGTGTGGTGTTAAAACCACTGTTCTTCAAAAGTTCAGGCTTGGCTAACAAGCAAAGAAGTTGTAGGAGGCTTGACTCCACACAAAAATGAGGTTGACTTGTCTTTACAAGTGCAAGAAGGTTGATGCATGTCAAGGTGATACTTGATACAAATACATCCAAAGAGAAGGGAAAAAACCCACTCCTACACAAAAATAAACACCTCATACAAAAAAACTCCACATCCAAGGAGTTTTTGTAGTTGAGTGAGTTTTTAGAGTAGCTGGTTTGTCTAAGTTCTATGGTTTTAGTTTTGCTTGTGTTGACGAGAAGTTACTGCAGTGGGGAACGACATGACTACACAAAGCTTTTGGGCGTCGGTTCCAGCAGACTTTCTTTGTGTTTGATTCGGCTTCAGCATAGCTCCATAACTTCCACAACTGATTAAAGTTGTCCTCAGATTTTGGAGGGATTAAACACCTTGTTACTGGATCAGTGTTTACACAGGTTTGAAGAGCTGCTGCAATTTGGGTCTTGCCAGCAAGTTAACCAACACTGACTGATTTTGCAGGGTGGCTCTTAAAGGGTGAGTCACTGTGGCCAACACAGGTGCTCAGAATTATCAATAAGTAGACTGAGGTGAGAAAAAAAACAGGTGAAAACAATCAAANTTAGCTTAATTTATATCTACTCATATTCATTTAATTAAGCGTTTTAATTATTTGGCCGATTAATCGATTAATCGAAAAAATAATCAACAGATTAATCGATTATTAAAATAATCGTTAGTTGCAGCCCTATTTCCTGCTGATTTTGACATCCTGTTACAGATAATACAGGATGGACAGGTCAGAGGCTCTACAAAGATATTTATAGTTTGGAGTTGTTAGGTTTTTGTTGTTGTTTTACTTTAGTTATTCGTGGAACTTGTAACTATTGCTCCACATGATGTCTCCCGAAAATATTTAACTGATGTTTTTATCAAAACCTTTTAAATATTTCATTTAGGTAATTTGAAGATTTTAAATGATTAAATTTCTTATAAAGGACCTTGTGAGAGCACCTCTATGGGATAAATCTTGTGCCAGCAGGAATTGAATTTGAGTTGCTCAGATTAAATCTGAATGTGCATAATTTGAAATTGAATGCATTGGTTTGAAAATGAATTTCACTAAAGTGAAACTGAATTTAATGGTTTGAAACTGAATTTAAAGTTTTGTATCTGAATTAGTTTGCTTTGAAACTGTATTTTGGTTTATTAAAAATTAAATTTTACTACTTTCGCTTTCAGTTCCATAATTCAATTTCATTTTCAAAATTCAAATTTTTGTGTCACACATCCTGGTCCTGGAGAAAGCCAGCCAGAGTAATCAAACACAGATTCACAGATTTATGTTTCACTTCAGTGAATCTTTCCTTCTGTATGTAACACAGTTGATGCAATCCACCGTAAAAGTGGATCAGTCAGCTGCAGCATCCGAATAATATGTGATCCATGATGTGATGTAAATGTATCATTTTCTACATTTAGGTAAAATTAATAACTGCTATAAAATAGCTTTGTCTGTTTTTGTCACTTTTATGGTGGATTGCATCAACTCTGTTACATACAGAAGGGAAACGTCACCAAAGTGAAACATAAATCTGTGGATCTGTGTTTGATTGCTCTGGCTGGCTTTCTCAAGGACCAGGATGTGACACAAAAATCTGAATTATGGAACTGAATTTGAAAGTAGTCAAACTGAATATTTAATGAACCAAAATACAGTTTCAAAGCAAATTAATTCAGATGCAAAACTTTAAATTCAGTTTCAATTCAGTGAAATTCATTTTCAAACCAATGCATTCAATTTCAAATTATGCACATTCAGATTCAATCTGAGCAATTCAAATTCAATTCCTGCTGGCACAAGACTTATCCCATACACTTGGATTATAATTTAAATCCTCAAAATATTCAGTTTATTCAATATTATTGAGTTTAAGGAGAACTCGGCTGAGTTTATTTATGTTTTTCAGGAACCCAGTAGCAAACGCGTGCGACCACTGGCCAAAGTTTCCTCCCTCGTCAACCTGATGTCTCCCTCGAAACATGGAGCTGTGCGGCGTTTCGGCCACACAATCCAGGTGCGCTCCGACTCTCAGCACCGTCTTGTCTGAAAGGAACTAGCTTTGTGTTTTGGTTGTAACACACATCTGCTCCCCAGTCAATGTCTTTACGCAGCGACATGAAGTCACCGGCGATGACTCGCAGAGCTACCAGCAAGGCTTCAGGTCCGACTCCCTCCAAACGCAGGAACAGCACTCTGTGGTCCGAGACGCTGGACGTCCATCAGAAGAACACTTTCTCTACTAAAGAGATCAAAAGACAGGAGGTGGTTCAGTTCAGTGCTTTTAAATGTTGGTAAAAGAGGGTTTTAAGCAAATTTATCCATAACTTATTGTTTTGCTTTTCAGGCAATTTACGAGCTCTTCAGGGGAGAGCAGGATCTCATCGAGGATCTTCAGCTTGCACGAAAGGTTAGAAATATTCATTGGAGATTCATTCTGAGAAATACAGCATCAATCCTTTTTTTGTTGATGTTTTGCTGCATTTTTGTCCTCCGTTTAGGCGTACCACGATTCGATGCTGAAGCTCTGCATCATGACAGAGGAGGAGCTGGCTCACATATTTGGTGATCTGGATGCCTACATCCCCTTACATGAGTGTGAGTCGCTGCCCACCCATAAACTAACTGACTGTAACCAGAGTGTTTGACCATGTGAGGCTTTTTAATTTATTTATTTAATCTGCAGACTTGCTCATGAAGCTAACAGAAGGAACTGGGCCTGACGGAACAGTAGCTCAGGTCGGACACATCATAATAGACTGGGTATGTGCTCATCCAGACAAAACAAATAGACATCGTTTTCTGCAGGGTGCACTTTTTTTTTCATTTGTTTGTATCTTTCCCCAGCTGCCTGGTCTGAATGCTTACAAAACTTACTGCAGCAACCAGCTGGCAGCCAAGGCCCTGCTGGACCAGAAGAAGCAGGACAGGCGGGTGCAGGACTTCCTGCAGCGCTGTTTGGAGTCGCCCTTCAGCAGGAAGTTGGACCTGTGGAGCTTCCTGGACATCCCGCGGTCACGCCTGGTGAAGTACCCGCTGCTGCTGCGAGAGATCCTCAGACACACGCCACCCGACCACCCCGACATAGCCAACCTGGAGAGAGCCGTACGTTTGCTTTCACCTGCTCGAGCTTTGAGCAAATCTGTCCAAATGTGACTTTCCTCTTTAACTTGTCTGTGTTTCTTTCAGATCACTATAATCCAGGACATTTTGTCTGATATTAATGTGAGAAAAGGCGAGTCTGAGTGCCAGTATTATATAGACAAACTGGAGTTTCTGGATGATAAGCAGCGGGACCCTCTCCTAGACAAATGTAAGACCCTACTTTGTCACGGCGAGCTGCGCACAAAGAGTGGTTTGGTGGGTACAAAGATTTTAAATTTCCTCATTTCTGCTCTCGTGCTTTTTTTAAATTTTTGTTGTTGTTGTTGTTGTTTGCAACGCTTCATTTCATCCTCTGTTCACGTGGCGTTTCAGAGACTGCACGTGTTCCTCTTCTCTGAGCTCCTGGTTCTGACCCGGCCCGTGACCCGTAACGACAGGAGCTGCTTCCAGGTGTACCGACAGCCCATCCCGGTGAGAAACCTGGCTCTGGAGGACCTCCAGGACGGAGAGGTCCGCACGGGGGGGTCCTTCAGGGGAGCGTTCACCAATGGAGAGAAAGGTGAGTTGAGCTGGACCTGCAGTGTTCGGTTCAGTTCAACACTTTGTTTTCCACCTGTCTTTGCAGGATGACCTCTGCACACATTAGACAGGTCTTGTGACTTGTATCTATTTTATCACATGTTGCAGCTTTCATGAACAGGAGGAGGGTCTGTCCACCGGAGCAGATCATGTGTAGTAAATGAATCAGAATGAACACAAGCTGCAGTGCAAAATAAGTGAAAATAATTACTTTTTTTGCCATAATTGAGATTTGCATAAAAGTGAGTTCATAAATACTCTGATGTAGCAGTTGCCTATAATCTTCTAATATTCATTTAAATCCAAGTTCTCTAAAACACGTCTTCAGAAATAATCCTTTGTTTTATCATTTTCTTTAAAACTGACCATTTCTCTGCTCTGCTGTTTGGCGTCATTCAGAAACTTATTCGTTTTCCCTTTTTTTAAATATTGGACTGTAATTCCTGATGTCATCATCCTCCTGACCCACTGTCCTGCATGTGTTGGTTGTTTCCCTGCTTCAACACACCTGGCTGAAATGACTGAGTGATTGACAGGCTTCTGCTAAACGTGATGATATTCTGAGTAGGTCATTTAATGAGTTGAAGCAGGGGAACATCTAAAACCTGCAGGACAGTGGGTCCGGAGGAACTGAGCTGAAGACCTCTGGTCTAGATTACCGGTAATAAAAACTGATTTTTGGAAATAAAACTAGGCTGTAGCCAGGCCAGTTCATTAATCACCAAACTGAAACAAACTACATATTTGAAGGCTTTTGAAGTGGAGAATTGTATTAAATTATATTAAAGTATATAGTATAGGTAAAGGTTTGTAAGTTTATATTAAAACAAACACACAAGCATTTTTATTTTGATCCTAAACTAATCTGAAATATCATATTGGGCCCTTACTTATATTATTCAAACTTTATTACACACTCAAGGTCCACAAAACAACATGAGAAGCAGATCAACCATAAAATAAAACCCAAAAACATAAAAAAACACCTATAAAAGACAGCTGTACCAGTGCCTCCACAACTGGGACTGCTAAAGTGTAACACTGAGTCTTATGTTAGTCAAGCTCATAATAATTGAGTTACAGCAAGTATTGACACGACCAATAAGTTATTAATTATTAAATTTTCTTTCACTGACTTGCTCAAGACTTCTGCTTTGAAGAAAAATGATTAAAATACCATTAAAATAATTTGTTGCTTCTCTACGGTAATTATAGTTCGTTAATATGCATATCACCACTGTATCCTGGCCAGTTTAGTGTTTTTTTAAGTCTAGTTAAGTGTGGAAATAAGGAAAAACAATTGTGTTTACAAAGTTAAAGAAAAAACAATTAAGTTTTTCTAAAAACAGATTGCTGAAACAAACAGGTGCTTTTATTTTTAGATTCTAACTCTTCACCATGTGTAGCCTGTCAGGTACAAGTTAAGAAAATCTGTCTCTATATTGTTACAGTTTTTGTTTTTTAACAATGTTTGGAGTGTAGAGCTAATAACGCCTGATCTGTTTAGTTTATTTAACTGCAAAGTGACAGTAAATAAAAAGGAAAAGTACTGTATGTAAATTGACAGAGTACTAAAAAATTGAATCTGGAAACAAGTTGGTAGATTGAAAACTGCTGAAGACAGGAAGCCTGCTCAGTTTTTTGTTTGTTCTTTTGTCAGTGCCTGAACTTGTCTAAGCTGTGAGTGGGAGGGATGAATGATTTTAAAGAGTTGAATCAAACTTCATGTCTTTTATTTGTTTCATTGTTTGACTTTGGTTTGAGCGACAGAAAGTCTGTCGGCGATGATTACTGTTGGATGTGTTCCTGATCCGAAAGCTTTCAGGCTGGTTCAAATACAAAGAAATCTTGTCGGCTCACCGTACGGCATGCATTACATTTTTTAGAAAGCTTTTTTTCTCCCTCTTAAAATGATGACAACACACATCTAATAAGTTATTTTTCACATGATAAAAACTCTATTGAAATATGTGCAAATTACACTGGAACTACTTGCCTTTAGGGGTGTCCCAGTACAAGATTTTCTCAAACCTAGTACAAGTACTTCAGTTTGGGTACTCACCGATACTGAGTAAAGATACCCAGTACTTTCTGAGGAAGAACCTAATGACTTTAAATACACATTTCTTTTATTTAAAACACCGGTCAAACTCAAGGCCCACAGGACAAATCTGGCCCTTATTAGCATTTTATCCAGCCCCAAAGATAATAATAATAATAATAATACTTGAAATGTAAAATAGTTTTTCTGGTTTCTCTTCTTGTCACTGGGTTTAGTGCATTCTTTTCGTGACAACTGGCTGATTTTCTAGTCAAGAAAATTACTTTTTTTTTTCAGTAATCTTTGATGTTGGTGCGCAGAAAGAGCCACAGAGAATCAACTTAAATGATCTTTTCTTAAAGTCAAATAATTAGATCTGTGGTGAGGGTTGTTTTTTCTGGATTGTGATAAAATATATCTTTAAAGCAGGGGTGGGCAATCCTGGTCCTCGAAGGCCGCAGCCCTGCAGGTTTTATGTTTTTCCCTGCTCCAACACACCTGATTCAGACATTGAATTACCAAGTTCTACAGTATGGAGGGCCGACACTGATATAACTAGGAAAAAAAAGGCAGAAATATATAAATGGACCAATAAATTCAATTAAAAATGCACCAATAAAATTTAAAAAGGAGAGCTTTATCTCACATTTT